CCCGAATGGTGCTGAAGGGAAAAATCGGTGACCTGACCTCCCAGGCAGTCTGAGATTTACGGCCTGAGTCATGGTGGAATCCGCAGCTGACGTACCGGGGGAAACTGCGGAGTGGCGCTGTCACGCGAAGGCAGGGAGGAGGCTGCACGGGGCAGGGCCCAGGTGCATGCTGGGACGGGGCAGCGGGGCGACCTACGGAAGCAGCAGATCCACATGTGCCTGGAGAGACAGCCGCTTCCGTTGGTAGCCCTTGCCCTCCGCTTACCCAGACTAACTGGAACGGGGCGTGTTTTTAGTTTTTTGTTTTTTCTTCTTCACTGCATCGTGCTGGAAAAGCCCCTCAGACTCGTACAGACAAAATCTGAACTGCAGTCGGCGAGCAGAAACCACAACCACAGTGTCTCTGATTTTTCTACTGCAGTTTATCTGCCCATCACATCTTCCCCATAGACTGATCCGGCCTGGCAGCTTCCCCGGCTGCCCTCCATCACGCTTTCCCACACACACGCACTAACACACAGTGACACACACATCCCCCCCCCCAGCCTGCCCCCCACCTTCTCTGTTCTGCTTTGCTGAGGGGTCCGACCACTGCACCGTCTGTGTGGAAATAGGTCATGGAGCTGAGGCTGTAAAAATAGCCTGCAGTACTGCAGAGACGAATGTGTGCGAGCGCCATTTTTAAATTTTTTTTTTAAACCAGATTTGGAGCTCTTTCAGTAGACCGCAGATGTGTGATTGGCTCAAATCTTTTCTAAACACATGAAGTGTTTTACTTTATACATGTTTAAGACGCAATAGACTGTAGGCCCCCTGCAGCCTTGAGCAGGAAAAGCAGTTAGAAGTGGATGGATGGATTGATTTGATTTGCACATTTTCCAGAGCCCCTCCCCACCACCACTAAAACTATATTCCTATATTTTTCTTTCAACCCCAGGTCAGGCAGTTGCGTGGCCAGCCACACCGATTCCAGAACCCAGGAGGAGGATGCCTTCAGGACCTGTCTCTAGCAAGCCCCGCCTCAGTGGAGGGTGACTTTTTGAGCTGGGAGGAGGAGCTCCTGCCAGCCAAGACGCTGTACGCGACCCTCTCCTCCACGCCTTGCCATCCCTCGCCACGGCTGGACAGCGAAGGAGGCACCGACAGCGAGGGCGAGGAGAGGGCCGGCGAGGTCGACATGGCATGTCCGGAGACCCTGGATCACTGAGGGGGTGGTACAGGGTCACGTCCTACCCCCCCCCCACACACACACACAGACACACAGACACACACACCTACCCCCCATCACGAGCTGTGCCAAACCTTTTGACCCTCTGGGAGCTGCGAGTGTTGTGGACATGGTCACTGAGAACTAAAACTCCGTTTTGCAAACCTGCCGCCCCAGTAAGAGAAGCTCCGGATTCTGTCCAGGAGATCCGAGTGAGTCTCCTGGACCCTCCACTCCGATGGTACACCTTCAGATATGTCAGCTAGGCCGGCAAACTTCTCTCCGATTTTATGTCGGCTGCTAAGTATTTGCCACCATGTGGACGTTCTAAACGGTGACGTTCTCACTGTGTATCCCCAGCCTGATCCACTTTAACCTTGCCGCGGGGGTCGCGGCTGCGTGCTCCCACTTCCTGTGGTGCCCGGCCCTCCCCCCTTTGCCTTTTGGATGGCTGCTCCTCTCTCTGTCCTCAATCGTATGCTCCGTCACCCCCTCACGAAGCTCTGCCCACTACTGGCTCAACTCACCTAACGTATACACACTACAGCCAATGACAAATGAGCATGGCTGAGGAGGCGGGGCATCCCTGAAGAATAGAGGGGAAAGGGGCGGGGTCAGGAAGAGCAGGAGGTGAAGCATGGTCACTTTTACTATAATAGGGGTTCATTTAGGCGATAGAGATGAAAGATTAATAATATATCTGACTGTTTATGTGTTTCTGTGTGTCTATGCCTTGCGGACAAAGGGAGGCCGATTCATCATAATTTCTTACCTGTAAAGTCAGAATGCGTCAGAACTTCAAGGAACTCAACGTTGCCAAATCTTGTTTTTTTAATGTTATAAGTTATGTGTTTATTTATTTTGATATTTTTTTATAAATCGACACAAAATATACATAAATAGCTCATGGCGACGGCGGCCATTTTTTTTGTTTGTTTTCTTGCTCTTCTGTGCCAATTGCCACCCCGGGGCTGGCCAGGCCGCAGAGGCGACGCGGGATGGGAAACACCGTGCTGCTACCTGTCCTTCTGTTATTTATTGTGTTGCGTTTAAATTACAATGTACCCCCCCCCCCCCAGACATAAATGCTCTCCCTGTCAGTTGGCCAGCCATACTGTGAACATGCTGGCAATCCCCAGTCTCCCCGCACTGTCCAGCAGCTGTCAGGACGGGTGGGAGCAGTGAGTGCGTTCAGCGGCGCCCTTCCATCTCTGGAACCACGGCAGAAAAAAATCGCAGTTACGCCGGCTTTCGTTTCAAACCCTTTAGCTCACACGGCGCTCACAGCTCACGCCTCCTGCTGGGTCAGCCTCTGTGTGGTTCGGCGCGGCGCTCAGAGTATCGTCTCCGTGTTGACTTCAGTACTGTATAACGACCTGACGATACCTCACCGGTTTGCTGTCCCGACACGAGGCCTTACAGCGCTGCCCCCAAGGAAAACCCACGTCCTGTTAGCTTTGTGTCTGTGTGTGTCTGTCGAGGTGCTGTGTTGCAGGAGGTTTTAATGGCCCAGAGTGTTAAACGTGATTTAAATAATGTTAGTGTGAGGTTTGTGAGCAGAATGAGGGTCAGGAGAGCTGCTATGGTTGTTCACATGTGGCCCAGTGAAGCACTGGCGCCTGGATTTGGAGACTGGCCTTACTGGAGAGTCTTTATTGGTAATATAGCCCTCTAATATACATAGATCATGTACTATTCATGGATACAGATATGATGTTAAAATATGCACTGTATGATGAAGCACATATTTTTTTCATGTGTTAAAGTATAAACACCCATCAAGGGGACTTTTTACGGGGCTGTGGAGGTTTTGATGCAGTGTTATGAGACGTTACAGTATTATTACTATTATAATTCTGATTATTTGGCAGAACTTGTTGGTTCTTTTTATCAGCTAACCTGTTTTAGCCTCCAGCCTGGCCTGGTCTTTCGGCTCACTACTGCGTGTTCCTGAGCTCCAACGAGTGAAAACTGTCTGGTAACTGGTTTAGACTGTCCTGGGGTCTGGGGTAACCAGTGTAGACCTTTAGGAAGGAATTCGAAGTGTTTTGTGACATTAACATCAAAGAGTTTGTTTTGCTGTTTACAGAAGTACCCTGGACCAAGTGCTACATTAGAGATGGTAGACTGGTAAGTGTTTTAGTTCGCAGTTTAGCTCTCCGTTACAGTGGGGCCCTCGGATCATTTTTGAGAAGGTTACCTCCGTGCTCATGATGTTGATTCCATCATCTCGTAGTTGACAGAGAAGTTCACGTTCTTGAAGTGGAACCCTGTCCCCCCTGCCGTGAGATATTTCTATGAACAGCCAGTGACTCACAAGAACTGATGCAAATGAACTTGTGATGGTATCCAGGCCAGCCACAGGAAAAAAAATATATAGAATATATAATAATCTTAAGATTTGTTTTTGTTCTTTTCTTTTTGTAATGCATCTGCTTTCCATGACTTTTGAAAGTAGGTTGACTTTCCTCCTACACCAGGTAGGGAAAGTGACTAACTGATTCACACTGTTTGAAGTTAGTATTTGACCCTGAAAGGGACAGTGGTGGCGGGTCGCCTGCTGTTTGGCTGGGAGGCACCCTGGTTATTACAGCCAAACGCCCGTCGGTCGCTACAGAAGGCTCACGCAGGTCTTCTAGACTGAAATTCTCAAACTCTTCATCCCATGGTTAAACGGAGATGCCCTGGAAAGGACGTCTTTTAGCCTTGAATTAACGTAGCACGGTGGGTTTCGTTTGTGGGACAGTCTGTATACCATAAAATCCTCATGTTGCTGTGAAGCTATGGCAGTTGGCACTGTCATTATTAGGACTGAAGAAACAGTAACGATGACTGTAGATTTTGGCATAATATTTGAGCCTCTAGTTGGCATCGTCATGGGTACGCCTGAAGGTCAGTGGTGTTCCGTTCGTATATTTGTTGTCTTTCATTAAACAGAAAATTGTTTTGTCAGACATGAAGGTGCTCCTAGCTGAAGCGGATTTCTCCTGCAGAGAAGCTGCTCCCAGCTACCCGTTCCCCTGTTCCCCTTCCATTAACAACGGTACCCCACCACCCTGTCCTGCAGTTTAACCACGTGATGTTCCAAACCCACTCTAAGGATGACTACTATAATGATGATACTATTGATGAAGATGATGTTGAAATTATTAATGGATTCAGTGTTCAGTGGATGGTAAAAATAAATATTTACACTGTACATTCGCAGAAAGGAGATTTTGGCCTGGGATTTTTCTGACTTGCACGAGTGTTTAATGCACATGTATCATGAGACCTTGGATGTGACTTGGGGTGTGTATGTGTGTGTGTGTGTGTGTGTGTGTGTGTGTGTGTTCCTCTACAGGCCAGCCACTTGACTGCTGACTCAGGCCAGCCTTCCCAGTTACACCGCAATTACCAGCAGTGTCTCCCTTTCTTGTTCAGTTTTTCTTTTCCTCTGTCCTATTCAGTAGCATAGTTTAAATCTGTCCATCTTTTTGAGACACGGTGACCCTGATCTGACCTCCCTTCATTATTTTACTAGCTGTGAAGGTTATTTTTTGTCCCACAAAGCCCTGCAGAACTGCATTTTCTGCATTTTCATTCCACTGGCATTTTCTCGAGCAGCCACCTTAAAGGCGTCTCCAGGCCATGCTGGATAGCGTCACCATGACTCCTGAGCGCCATGTCTGCAGCTTGCAGGTCAGATACTGGGTTCCTTAAAGCCTGTGGTTGTGGCGAAGTCCCCGCCCAGCCTCCGGCCCATGCATCTCCTCTGCTCCCCTGCTCTCCTCCACGCTGGTCGGGGGCCTTTTTCTATGCGGTTGATGCCGTTTGACAGATATGAAGCTGTGAAGCCTCAGACTCACTCTGGCTTTTGAGTGAGAGGACACAGGAACCCATGTGACCTGTCAGGAGAGCAACAAGTTGATGTGTATAAGTCAACGTGAGATGCCATCTCATAAGAGGATGTCACCCGTCCGGCAAGCGAATGCATCACCGTTACCCTCTGTGTCCCCTGCTGTGAGGGAGCACTATCTGACAGTGGTGCAGGACAAAAGACAGACAGAAAAGTTGTTTAACAATCAGTCAGCTGCTGTCTGAATCTTTTACAAATTTGGGGTGGGACTTTCTCCTTTTCTTCCTGCCGTCACCCACGTCACAGTGTAAAGTTTCATTTTTCTTTTTTTTTTTTTGTTCTGACCTGCTTCGTGTGCCGCACCAACGGCCGCGGCGCACAGGAGGCGCCCTGATCGAGCCCCAGGCTGCCTGTCAGCCAGGGAGAGGAAGCTGTCTGCGGTCTCCTCTGCCGAGTGACTCAAAGGTACCCACCGCGCACCTCCCCGGCTCAGTGTCGCTCGGTCCCGCACCCTGGGCCGACCCGCCATCCCTCTGATTTATCACCGTTGGACTTTTCCACGCTGCTCTCAAGCCAGACTGCCCTTGGTGGAACGGAGGAGTAGGAGAAAGGTGAAGAGGAAGAGGGGGGAAGAAAATACTGGCTTTTTAAAATGACTCTTGCTCTCTGCAGAGGAAAATGTTTTTATTAACTATCAAGCGGATAGTGGTGATTAACAGCTGAGAGTGGATTTTTTTCCAGCTCCATACTCATCCTCCCTTCTCAACACAGCAACTTCACACAATTTGGTTTTAATATCAGTAATAATCTGATAATTCTGGTAAGTTTCAGGATTCTTCTCACTTTAAAAATGTCCTTGCTCCTCTTGATGGGTTTGGCCCTGTAAGCGGATAATATCGTTAATGTTTCCTCCCACCTCCAAAAAGACCTACAGAATATCTTTTCAAACTGCTGTGTTCATCTTCCAGCTGTTGTTTTGTCTTGTTGCATTTGTATTTATTTAGATTTTGCAGCCTAAGCAAGCGATCAAGCCGATAAGTGTCATAAAATCAGAAGGTCTTTCGTTTGTCACCCTAGAATGTCTCCTGGTGGGACAGGGACTCTTTCAAGTGGGAAACCTGTTGGTAGCAGACTAACTTCACTACACAAATTTTAAAACACATGTTGCAGTTGTAGATATTGCTCCATGAACCGTTTGTCCTTGTTACATCTCCTACAGAAATACAATGAAATCAAAGTGTCCTTCTGTAAGCCTTCAATATGAAACATATTGAAGGCATAATTTAATTGTTGCTTCAGTGATAATACATTAAAATATAGGCTTACATTAAACTATCATTGTAGCTATATGGATTTTTTTTTATCATTTGCAATTTTTATTGAATAATGCAAATGAGTTTTAATCCTACATAGTTAAAAAAATATATACACACGCGTTATGCAGGAAACTATTTTATTTCATTTAGAAATAAAGTTTCTCCTTAGCATTAAAGTAATATTTTAACACGGCCGGTCTTTGGCCAGTGCGGGTTGTTCATTCCTTTAGTGAATATGTTTGTGCATCTTAGCAGAGATGCTGCAGGCGGCATCGCGGAGCAGCGGCTCCTGTTGCATTTTAAAGTCGTTTACTGTAACTGAGCTGCGGCGATTTGCGGCTGCAGCCCAGTTAATGCAAGCTGCATATAAACGGTTGAGAAGCAAGTAACTTGCGGCCGACGGGCTTCGGGGGTGTCTGCAGGTGGCAGGTCTGCGTGTTTTTACGCCCGGCGTGTTGATCGCAGCTGTTCGTCTGCGCCAAACACGGGAGGGGAAAAAATTATGCATGTTTTTGTTAAAAATTAGGTTTTTTTTTTTTGTTTTGCCTTGGGCGGGATTAAAGCGGGTATATGCTTCACTACAATCTGAGGCAAAGGATTTGGAGTCCCATTCCACCCGCTTCTGTTTCTGCAGTTGGGCACTAAAACCTCAGCTGGGGGGGGTTAGACGCAGGTGCACCGTGGAGTTAAACTGCCATGGAGACAGCTGTGCATGGTTGAGGGGGGGGGACCACTACAGCACGGAGCTTTTTCCTAAGTGCAGTATGCGCTTTACTGCATAGCCTCGTCTGCTGGTTATCATGCGCGTCGTTAGGTCTGATCTCTATTTTTTTAAATAAAGAAATAAATAAATCAAGCCCCAGGGAAACTTAACTTGGCCCCTGATCTTTACAATAGCTCCCCTGCTCGTTAATTATTTTTATTCAATTATAACATTCACCCAGGGGCGCCGTAAGGGGGAGGAAAGCTAGGACGATTCCAAGGGCCCCTGAGTGACAGGGGCCCTAAAAAATTAGGAAAATAACTGTATTGGTTTGGACTGGGGGGCCTAATATGATATGCTTTCATGGGGCCCAAAATCTCTAGCAACGCCCCTGCATTCACCTATCAATTTTAATTATTGTCAATCCTCACCCGAGCAACAAATCTTTAAATAAAACTAAATGGAAATAGATGAAATGATCTTTATGGAATGAGTCTTCGTGACTTACAGTTTCTGGTAGGCTATTAATAAAATGCACCGAATCCATCAAGAGAAGGTGTAACATTGCAATAGGCCTAAAAACTGGTCGTGTTGTAAAAAAGGTTTTACTGACCTGGTCTACTATGGATTTGTGGGCCGTTGTTGTATCCTACTGGAGTCTATTTACTATCAGTCCCTGAAACTAATTATAGAAATTTATTTGCATGTTTCATGTTTTTCTTTTTAACATTTGACTTGGTAGGCTGGTATTTATTTTTCAGTGAATTAGTTATTTTGATAATTGGTACAATCTGCCAAACTATTTTTGACTTGCACACTTCCGGCTGTTTAAAAATCAGTTATCTAAAATATGTAACGGCTAAAAAATTGAGTTGAGAAGAGTTAGGTGACATGAAATTCATACATTAACATTTAATCAAAACTTGTATAAATACACTAAAATTATACGTGATCTTAAAAGTGAACCGAGCTAGTCTAGGGAAACAGTGACTGAATCTAAATATTTTGTTTTAAAATTAAATTTAAAGGTTCTATATGTTTAAGGTTTAACAGAATGGTGCGACAGAATTCGGTTTATTTGTGTTCAATTATAATCTGTAATTTCACCATAAGAATCTGTCATTTTGTTGTTATTATTATAATTGTGTTTAACTTTCCTCTTTAAATAGAATCAAACCTTTCCCCGGTGTCAGACCGATTCCTAACGGTCAGCTTCAGATGCGGTTATCGCGACCGCTAACTCAAGGAAGACTTACAGCAGAGATTTTTCTGTGTTGTTCCTTGTCACCTTTTTCTGTCCTCTTAGCTGGAAAGTTACTTGGTCACCCAGCGTAGCGCGTGATGCTGCGGAGTCTTAACGGTGCCGTTACGCTCTGACCCTGACGGTAATAACGGTGCCGTTACACATTGACCTGACGGTCTCGCCCGCCCAGTCATCCGGTCATACTGAGGCGTTGCTGCTGCTTGATGTTCACAGCCCTTCGTGGCTTTTCTATGGCCTCAGGATTTCTGAGCTCTTCGAACGTGCAGGGTGGGGGGTGATTTGTGTCATCATTCACGGGTGTTGGTTATCCCTTGTAGAAATGAGGAACAATTTTTATTGTGATTTCATGGTCCTGGTGGTGACTAAGTTGTTTTTAAGTTTGAAATACTGTGCCTTGAGGATGCTTGCACGAGTGTGACAGACGAATTACATTACTGATGAGAACGGTATGCAGCCATCTAAAAAGTTTTACTGTATTTAAATATATAAAAAATACATACATATAAACACACAAACATAGAGGCCGATTGTTCAACTCTGCTTAAATGCGATGTTTCCCCGTAGAGTCAGTAGGTGTTTGAGGTTTTTTAGAGAATCACTGCTGTTTTCCTTTTTGACTCGGTTTAGCGTTTTCATTTCAAAGTACGTCTCTCACACGCCATGGTTTCTGAGACCTGCCCCAGTGTGTGCAAACGTGTGTGCTGGCATTTTGCTTTCATCTCTGAAGTTCGTTTGACACGATCACACAATACTGATCTAATATCAACTGAATGCCATTGATGTTATGCCCCTGAAACCACCTGATAAAATCTAATTAATCTAAATCGAATTAATCATGTTTTATTATTTCAATGTTAGATAATTTTGTGATAATTACACAAATTAATTAGACACGTTTTAAAACGTATTTTAATTTCAGTATGCAAATATTAATAGGCATTAAGAGAACCCCAGTTTTCAAATTTTAACGTGTCAAACCATGACCGAAATTCAATCGACATCTACATCAAAGCTGACTCATACGGAGCTTAGAGACGCTATACACTAATCAACATATAGTGATGAGTGTGTGGTATACTAGCGCATGCCGTGTATCATATAGAGCGATTGGTGTATGCACCGTACGCTATGTGCTAGTAAGTGTATATGGCGTACTGTAAACAGGGACTGGTGAATAGTCAAAATAAGTCAGGTTTATTTCTCCACTACATTTTCGGTTAAATGCAATATGTTTAATCAAAGTCCTGAACAGCTTAACTAGTAGATTATAAAGATAATTTAATGCCTGTTATTTTATAATTTAACTAAAAATATCACATAACACCAATAAGCACCTCAACTAAGCTACACCAAAACAACACAAGTCAATGTGCTATGCACCAGTAGGTGATACTGCGTACAGTATAGGCAAATAAGCGTGCAGGAGTACTGAATACAGGGATCGGTGTACACCGTGTATGGAATATTCTACTAAGTATACATAGCCTACTTATACAGGGATCGGTGTACACCGTGTATGGAATATTCTACTAAGTATACATAGCCTACTTATACAGGGATCGGTGTATGCAGTGTACAGTTTACACTGATTGTGCATACAAAGTACTATATACAATGATAAGTGCATACAGGGGCTCCAAGCCTCAGTGTCCTTTTTCACGAGTTCCCCGTCTCTCTGTCTTTGTAGCTGACCTCAAACCCAGCCCCCTCTCTCCTGCCATGCCTCGCTCATTCCTGGTCAAAAGTAAGAGGGCAGGATCGTACTCCCTGCGTCCTCTAGATGCCAGTCCCGGGTCGACCACCTCCACTCTCCGAACTGGGCAGCCCTGCGGACTCTCGGTGGAGCCGGCGTCGCCGGGGCCTCCCCCCGCGCATGCCGCGTCACGTGCTGTGGAGCCTCAGTGTCGGGACACCCCCTCCCCGTGCCCTCGTCACACCGTCCAGCCTCCAGGCTCTGTGACGGACGGCGACCCGCACCCTGCTTGGTCCCCAGGTACAGACACACAAGCACACACCATACTCCTCTCTGCTTCAAAATACTTATTCTAAACTCCTACTCTGCACCCTCACAGAGCACTCAGACCGCATAGCAGTGCCGACTATGTTGCCCTCTCCATCATTGCCGTGGACCCCACTGTGTTCTGAGGCTCTGCAGAAAGAGTTACATTTCGAGAAACTGCTGAATACCATAATGAACCACCAGCAGGGGGCGCCAGAACAAGGACAGCTTGGCAACCTCCATTGCTCTGTATGCAGGTGTCTCACGTGTAGCAAGGTAAGCTCATTCTGCACTCGGATGCCGTTACGACCTCCCAGGGCACAGCCAACCAGCAGGGGGAGCTGCGGCCTCCTTCACCAGCCAGAGGAGCGCAATATATTCCTATCTCGTCTGAATGATCTGACTGCCCTGCAGATGTTTCCCTCCGCCTCGAGTTTGGATACTACTCATATGCTCTGGTCACATGGCACGAGGCTGACTGTCCCATTGGCCGCTTACAGCAAGGAGAGCGGCCAGTCATATAACATCAGGCCGGACGCAGGAGTAAATGGCAGAATAAAGGTGAGTTTGGTCCCTGATCCCTTGATCGGTTTATGGATAATTAAAGGGATAGACATTGATTTTATTAAAGGGATATATCAACATTCATTTTATTAGTTGATTTTTAAAATTGTATTATTTTTCAGCATTACATTTGTCTTTCTTCTAATCAAAGCAACTTGAACCATTCCTGATACTGGACAGTCTTTAGGTGACTGTTCTCGGTGACAGCACCAGTCAACAGCACAGAACCTCTTTAGCACACAGATTGGTTCTGTTCCAGGAGAGGAATTTCACCTGCAAGGTGTGCGGCAAGGTGTTCAAGCGCTCGTCCACCCTGTCCACGCACCTGCTCATCCACTCGAACACGCGGCCCTACCCCTGCCAGTACTGCAGCAAGCGCTTCCACCAGAAGTCCGACATGAAGAAACACACCTTCATCCACACGGGTCAGTGCGGGCAGGCGATGTGATCGACACAGGAGCGCTTATGGGTCTTAGGGGATTTCTGTCTTTTTGATATGGTTTCCGCACCATATGTGTTGTAGGATTTGGGCCGTCTATTGGGTGAACTGGCTATATTCACATTCCCTGATATCCAAGCACAGGGAGCTGACCTTGGAGTCGTACTTACATCAGAACAGCTTAATACTAAAGCATTTGTTCTTAGCTCATTGGTGTCAACTTAAGAGCAGTATATCCAGGGACATATCTAGGATTTTTAAGGTGGCGGGCATAAGAGGGCCATAATTCATACAGAGGGGCAAGGGTTATCATTAGCCAATCATATGTTTTGAATCAGTGATTGACAGGGAAGGGGCACTCCAAGGGCCAATCAGCTTTCAGTAGGAAATACTGCTGATACCTTAACACCGGTCGTCCATCTCTGATTGTCCTGCAGGCGAGAAGCCCCACGTCTGCCAGGTGTGCGGCAAGGCCTTCAGCCAGAGCTCGAACCTCATCACGCACAGCCGCAAGCACGACGGATACCGTCCCTTCTCCTGCCCCGCCTGCCACCGGGGCTTCCAGCGCAAGGTGGACATGCGGCGCCACCAGGAATTGCACTGTGGATACAACGGCGTGTTCGCGGAGAGCTGAGGACTGGCTGGGAAACACACACACACACACACACACACACACACACAACAACCTGTGGCATTAAACAAACCACTCACCTCCATTGCTCAGCCCACACATCATGGCTCTGACTCTGTACATTCACAAATTTTATTTCCCATCGCCAGTCACGCAATCTCTGTGATTAAAGGGCCACGACCTTTGCCATTCTGTTATGACGATGCGGCCCACACACAGGCTGAAACAGAAAGCCCTCTATACATGACGACACCGTTTCAGCGAGGACCGTACACCAGAATGCCCCCCCCAGGCGGCCGTCATCTCTGGAATCTCTCACGTGGTGCTTACTTTTACTTTTTTCTGAGCTTCTGGGTATCAATAAAACGCTAACGGCATTTCAAAGGAACAGCCCTGGTTAGTTCTTACTGTATGTATCTCTGCAGGATTTCCACTTTGGTGGTGAGATTTCTGCAGGCGTAGAATGAATCGTAAAGCTGGCTTCCTGTGATTAACCTGTATGCATTGGCCAGTAAAGTCCCATTGTTCCCACAGCTTAACTCGGTGCGGAAAGGTGCTTTAAAAATATACATTATCATGGATCAGCAGAATGCATTCGAGCTGCAGTTACTTGGTTAAATTAAAACTGTTCCTCAGAAAACTACAGCAGCTTCAGGAAAGTCCCCTATTTGCCTATTCGGTTTATTAGACTCAAACTGCATTTTAACGAATGTGCCAGGGAAGCAGTTATGTTTGGACAAGACTCTTTCTGCTCTGACACCACAATATCCTATCACTTCATTCTCCTTTCTAAGGCCAGCAGATTCAATTTAATTCAATAGTATTTTATAGAATAAGAGAAATGAAATGCAGGACTGGGGAATGAAGGGCAGAGGGAGATCGAGGAGATTAAGCCCTATCCAGAACGTAAGCGGTTCGCCCAAGCCTCAGATTGGCTGTCTGCCTGAGTATCGGTGTCGCCATTCTGACACCCCCAGGTCCCGAAGACAGATAAATGTACCCACTGCAGAGATCATTCAGCAGCCGAATCTAATCAGAATGAAGAGCAAAGTGAAACTGAACACTGCAAACACCATAGCAACAAGACAAAAGGAAGTTTCAGCCTACGAAAGGAAGTACGAGAGAGAACACACACAAGCTGCATTAAAGGAAAAACATGCATCGCAGTATACATTCAACCTGCCTCTGATTATTACAGATAACTAGCTTTCAACAGCAGCACATTGAGAGATCTATGTCAATCAGGGCTTCACACATAATGGCTGCATGCAATATACACGTTCCAAGAACACAGAACACTTTTCAGGGTGGTGCAGAATCTCCGACAGGAGAGAGAAGCATGGATCGTGCTGGGCTGCTTATCGAGTAGAGGGTCGCAGAAAGTCCTGTAGATATTCCCAGGCAGCAGGGGACACAAGGCAGGGAAACGTGTAATCAAGCAACACATGCACACAAACTTATAAACTGCCAGCACATACTGAGTGATGCTAATCCTCTCCTGGGACTGGCTCCGGGACTTTGCGTGACCCTGTGGTCAGGCAGGCAGAATAGTATCTCTGCAAGCAGTGAGCCTTAAAACAAAGTAACAGATAGAGGCAGAGGTGGACATTTCAGGTCCAGAAAGTAAAAATCCAAACCAGGATTTTGTTTCAACCAACCAGTTGAGTACTATATGGCTGTGAATCTTTATACTCAGTAGGTTGGTTGAAATGAAATCCTGGTTTGGATTTTTACTTTCTGGACCTGAAATGTCCACCTCTGGATAGAGGCAACATGGACGGCAGTAATACTCTATAGCACTGCGTCGTGTTACGTTGCATGTCGGTCTTCCTTACAGCAGTCAGTACTGCAGTCTCAGTCACCTCACACTTTATAACGCAGCTGCCTGGACGAATCAGAACAAGCGACGTAGGAGAGCATCTAGAACTGCTGATACACTTTTATTCATGTGGCAGATGTGGTCCGAAGTCATGTACCAGAGAGGTGGCTGATGCATCACGAGCATGCAGGTGTCAAGAAGCCAGCGAAGTGCAAGAGCTGAGGGCTGACCAGATCCTGGTGCCAGTGTGGGGGGGGGGAATGCTATATGAACACTACTGAATACCTGAGGTGGAAATTTCAGGTCCAGAAAGTAAAAATACAGACCATGATTTTGTTTCAACCAACAGAGTCACAGAGCACTCAACTGGTTGAAACAAAATCTGGGTCTGAATCTTGCCTTTCTGGACCTGAACTTTCCACCTCTGCTGAATACCAGCCAGCCATCAGAAAGGCTGAACATGCAAAAATCACCCAGGAGAGAATCCAGTAAGAGGAAAGTGCAACTGCAAAAAAGAAAAAGAAAAAAAAGACACAAGGTCACCCCTCTGCCATCAAAATAAAATGACCGACTAAGACTGATCAGAACCCCAACCCAGAGAGCACCGCCGGGAGACAGAGAGATGAAAACACAACCAGGAATCTGTTTTGGAAGTTTTTAAATTTTATTTTTTAGTTTTTAAATGTTTTTGTTTTTTTATTTCCAAAAAAACCTGAGGTATTCACAATATAATGGCATTTACTCTGAAATTTACCAGGGGAAATAAGAGCAAAAAAAAAACAAAAAAAACAATTGAACAAAAGATGAATAAGAACCATCAAGACAAACAAGATCCTCACATGTAGATGTTAAAAACAAAATTTTACCCATGTTAAACATAATTCATGCGATCAAATGCTTTTAATGCAGCCCCCCTCCACACGCCCACCCAACATTAGCGACATCACCATTTAAACTTTTATATCCAAAACAAAACATGACTCCATCCTGTTGGCTATTGGGTGATTACAAATACCAGCCTAGCCAATCATCTCTCTCAAAAATATGGGAAAGGTTTTACCTGGACCTTCGTATATGATTATGGCTTGACGAGATGCTATGACTTTTGCTGTTATTGGCATTGTGCAGAGTTTAGTTTGTGTAGACAGGGAGCAACATCCCCTTCAAGGCATTAAGAGGCCGAAAATAGACAACAGCCCACACTGCATGTTTTCCAGTGACGGAGCGATGTGACTCCCACAAGGTATAATTACTATAGCAGATCATGTGACGCACTAAACAATGACACAGCTGGGTCCTAAATAGGAACTAAGGGAGACAGATGGATGAGCAAACATGCCATTAGACTTTGAGAGAAATGCGTGTAAAAGCAAGAAATATCTGACACACGCACATTCTCAGCTGACACCGCATGTGCGACTGGCAGGAAGAAGAAGAGTTTTTTTTTAAAGTAAGAAAAAAACTTGAAGGCTGACTAGACTAGAAATGACTGGCTCGGAAAATGAACGGGATGAAACCAGACCCAACAGGTCAGGGGAAAGTGTAGAGGAGGGCAGCAACCGTGTGTGTCCAACCAGGGCACCACGAATCGGCATGTCGTGTGCGGAGTGGAAAGATTCTTTTTTTTTTTTTTTACTGTGTGACAATGCCAACAACAATCATAAGACAGATCTTTTCAGTACGGGGGGAGGGGGAAGGGGGTGGGCTGCTCGCAAGGGGGGCAATTAGGTGAACGGCTCATGGGAGCCCAGAAAAAACAGCGGGGGGGGGGGGATGGGAGCAAAAGCAGAAATGACAACGACAGTAATGGAGACGCGGCGCAAGGAAAAACAAACAGGAGCCGAGAGAGAGAGAAAATCCCCCAAAGAGAGAAACACGCCTTCCACTGGGCATGCTCCCCAAACGGACAACCTTTATTAACATTGTTTTGGCGTAAACTTCGCCCTGATTATAAATAAAAGGTTTGAGTGGGATGTTGGAGGATTAACTGCTGCAGCAGTAGAGGACATAAATCATCACATCGCCAAAAGCGGTGAAGGGGGGGGAAAAACTAAAGAAAAACGGGGGGGGGCAGAAGGTACAAATAATAATAATAACAAAAGACTATGCCACCAACTTACAGTAAAAATTAAACTTTATATTGCAAATAGATTAAAACCTCAGCAACATACAGAGATAAAAGTGTGCCTTTTCTGTTTACACATTTCAACTCGTTTTCAAAAAAAAAAAGAATATATAATACGTAAAAATTATAAATAGAGTTTTGTGTGCCCCCCCCCC